TTTAAAATAAAACAGTAGGGCTGGGGATGTAGCTCAGCGATGCCACGCCTGCCTGGCAAGCACAAGATCCTGAGTTCCATCCCCAGCACCAGAAAACAAACAAACAAAAAAACCAGTAAACAGGGCCGGGGATTTAGCTCAGTGGTTCCGATGCCTGCCTCAAAAGCACAAGGACCCAAGTTCGGTCCCAGGTACAAAAAAAAAAAATCAGTAAACAGACCATAAGGCCTGTTTAGCAGTAAGAGGGTCCAAGTCATCAGGCTTGTAAAGATCTGAGTGAGTTGGGTGTGGTGGTGACACATACCTATAATTCCAGGGCTCTGGGAAGCTGGGGCAGGATCCTGAGAGGGAGCCTGGACCAGCAAGTCAGTGACTCAGTGTGAGACGGTGTCTCTACATCTTTTATAAGGGGTGGGAGGGGAGTGCTGGGTGGGTCTGGTTGAAAGCCCTGGGTTCAATCCCCAGAACCACAAACCAAGATCTATAAAAGGGAGCATAGAGAATGACAGTGGGGCCCAAAGTAACCGGGGCCAATATTTTACTGGCCAGAGAGCTCCAGACAGTAGGAGTAAGCTCCAAAAACTTCAACAGGCCTCAGACAGGGATGCGTCAACTGGTCAACCTGGCTTTCGTGGAGTTTAACAACAGGGACAGAGAGGACAAACAGGAATTGAGTAAGGAGGACAGACTAAAGACATGCTGGCCCTCATGGGTCAGGTCCAAAACAAAGTCCATAGCACCAAGGGGATCCAGGGTAACTCACAAAGGGACGGAGGGAAGTCTGGGTACTTTACGAGCAAGTAGTTGGGACACTGGGCTAGAGTGGCCTCAAAAGCTACCAACTCCTTGCCAAGTGCATCAGAATAGAGGCGAGGGAGGCTGAGGCAGGAAGATTGCCACGAGTTAGTTTGATGGCAGGCTGGGCTACATAGTGAGACCCTGTCTCAAAAAAAAAGAATGTGGGTGAGGACCCTTGGCACTGGAGGGGCTGCCCTGCTTCTCAGAAGGGGTCAAGGTCATCCACTACCATGGTAGCCAGGGAAGAACACCCAGAATTCAGTATGCAAGGACGTCCCCGTGACCTTGGAAGCCTCTTGGGCAACTCTGGGCATCACAGGGATACAAGGGCCTCTCACTCTATCCCAACTTCCCATGGGGCAAATTATCACCCCATTCCTCAGCTGTGTGGGCCTTGAAGGAGGTAACTGGTCAGTTTTCCCTACACCTCCAACTGCTGGTTGGGGGATTTCCTATTCCAAACTCCCTTCATGGTAATACCAACAGGCCCCACACCAGTAACTAGATCTGTTCCTCCTGTGGAGGCCACCTTGTCACTCAAACCTCTGGCAACTCATGTCATAGTTGCCAGGAACCCAGCCAACCTTGCCCTATGTAACCCAATTCCTTTGCCAGGAGTTGATCTCGAAATGTGGCATGATGGCACCCTGGGGTAGGTGATCACTCAGCAAAGGATGCTAACCTGTACCCTCAAAAAAAGGCAATACCCCCTCCAAAGAGAGGCTCCGGCCAGGCTAAAGCCTATTATTGATAAATTTTTGGCTGCAGGGTGGCTGTAGCCACACCAGGCCCTGTGCAACACACCTATCTTAGCAGTAGTCCAAACACTGGGAGAACTTCACCTAGTGCAAGATCTGTCATCAATGAGGCCCACACACCCTCCCGCATGGATCCTGGGAGATACCAGCTGGCTGTCCATCCTTCCTTCCAAGGAAGTTTCCTTTTCTATCCCCTTGGGCCCTAGTTCCCAATACCTGTTTGCCTTCCAACCAAGGATCCTCAAAATGGGCCCCACTAACAATCCTACTAGACTGTCCTGCCTCAGAGTTTAGAGACAGCCCTCCTCCCTTCCCACACCCTGGATGCTAAAGGTGGACAAAGGAGCCCTAGCACAGAGGACCTCATTTGTAGCTCGCCCAAGGCCCTTAGAACCGTTGGAATTCCTAGAGCACCAGCAGTGTCTTGTTATGCATAAAGAGCCCTTCCAGGAACTCCAGGTTCAGGCTAAAGAGTCACCAGAGGGACCAAAGGATTGCAGGGTTAGGATTTTCACCCCAACCCAGGGCCCCCAGGGATGGAAGGTGGATACCCTGCCCTAAGTATCTGTTCATCTGCTGGGTCACCTGCATCCCTTATGATGTCCTTTTAATAAACAGGTAAATATAAACGTTTGTCTGAGTTCTAGGAGCTGGTCTAGCAAACTACCAAACCCAAGGAGGGTAGTGTGGGAAGCCTGGTTTGCAGTGGGTTGGTTAGAAATATAGGGGAAGGGGGCCTTAGCTCAGTGGTTCCGGCACCTGCCTTGCAAGCGCAAGGTCCCAAGTTTGATCCCCGGTACCAAAAAAAAAAAAAAAAAAAAAGAAAGAAAGAAATATAGGGGATAGAATTTAACCAGAGATCTGTGGACCAAAAAGAGCCAGATCACCTCCGAGGCAGAGGTGATTTAAGTTGTCTTACAGGGGGCTGGGGATTTAGCTCAGTGGCACCGCGCCTGCCTTGAAAGTGCAAGGTCCTGAGTTAGATAAAAAAAAAAAAAAAAAGAAAGAAAGAAATATAGGGGAAGCTGGGCACAGTGCTGTGGATCTGTAGTCCCATCTACTTGGGAGGCTGAGGCAGGTGGCTCGCTTGAGCTCAGAAGTTGGATTCCAGGCTGGACCAGAAGAACAATGGGACTCAGCTACAACAATGTCAGCCTCATGTATGTGGAATGAGGTCACCCTAGCCCACAAATTATCCATACAATTTCACTACACTATCTGGCACATATTCAAAACAAAGTGAGTGTTCATGGAGACAATCCCAAATGGCCAGAGTATGACACCAAAACACACTAAAATAGATATAATACTTATTAGACATAAACTTTAACTATGCTTACCATGTTCAATTTTGTAAAGCACATAACTGAAAACTTTGAGAAGCAGAAACTATAAAAAAAAAAGACATTCTAGATTTCAAGGACAAAATTTCTCATCTAATTTTAACAAATTAACAAATTTTAACAAATTAACAAATTTTAACAAATTAGACCGACAGAAGAGAAAATCAATGAGAGGGACTAACAAACCAGAGGAAAATACTGGGGAAGGCCAGAAGAGATAAGGATAGCAAGGACATAAGGAAACAATAGCTGGACAATGTGATCAGTTATCCAAGGTTATGCATATCTTTACCCCCCAGGTTTGTTTGTTTCCCTTCAGGCCCACCACACCCAAATCCCTAAAAGACAATAGTTTTTCATTGTTGGCACTCTCTGAGCAGGCTACACAGTGAGTTCAAGACCAGCCTGAACTACAAAGAGAGACCTGTCTCTAAATAAATAAGGAATCTACGCCAATTGTTTGAGATACAGATTTAAGAAGGTTTTTCTGAACAGAGAGGAGGAAATGATGCAAAGACAATGAAAAGAGACCTACTAGGAAGCTACTGCAGGAATTCAGATGGGAGTTGGTGATAACACTGGACAGAAATGACTCAATCAAAGAGGAAGGTCATGGGAGGCTGAGGCAGGAGGATGGCCGTGAGTTCAGAGGCCAGCCTAGGCTACATAGTGAGTTTAAGGACAGCCTGAACTATACACCCTGTCTCAAAAATACTAAAACAGGGTCAAGGATGTAGCTCAGCAGCACAGCGCCTGCCAGGCAAGTGCAAGGTCATGCATTCAATCCCCAGTACCAAAAAAACACACAACAAAACAAGGAAGGGCAAATATTTTCAGCAGAACCATTGAAAAATTTAGCAAAAGATTATATAAAAATGACCCCAGGCCAGGTGTGGTGACATACCTTTGTAGCTGGGATATGGGCATGTGCCATGAGCCCTGCAGGCCATGCTTAATTAACTAGCAACAATTTAAAAATCCACAAAATAAAGAAGGCCAACATCAGGTCTCTCCATAATTTCCAGAGAAGTAAGATAGAGGAGAAAAACATCCTTAAGCCTATATGTAAATCAATAATCTCAGTATCTGAAGTTATCTCCAGCAGACCTTATAGCTGGGGGGCTGGGTAGTGGAAACACCTTAAAATCAGAAAAAATGAGCTGGGCCAGGTGTCACAATGCTGCAATCCCAGCACTGGAGGAGGAGGCAGGAAGATCACAAGATCAAGGCTATGGCCCGATGGAAGATCCTGTCTCAGGGAAATAAAAAATAAAATAAACTCCTTGGGGTTGGGGGTATAGCTGAGTTAGGTATGGTTGAGTTAGGACTCCATTCCACAAGCATTGCTAAGACTTCTCCTGAGATAAAAAGATGAAAATTTGAAAACAAAAAAGTTTATAATTTACCCATAACCACAATATCCACACATTACAAGACCTAATAATCACAAAACATGTAAAAACCTGGAAGTTAAAGAAGGGGTCTAAATTGTGCATGTTGAAACACACTTGTAGTCCCAGCACTCTGGGAGGCTGACAGAGAATCATAAGCCTGGGCCTAGCCTGAGCTACTCAGTGACTTAGTGAGACCTTGACTCAAAAAATGAAAAGCCAGGCTTAGTGGCACACACCTGTAATCCCAGTGCTTGGGTGGCTGAGGCAAGAGGATTACCATGAGTTCAAGGCCTACTTTAACTACAGAGAGAAACCTGTCTCAAAAAAACCCACCACAAATAAACAAACAAAAATAAAAAGGTAAGAAGATGTAGCTCTATGCAAAGACATTGGATTCAATCCCCAGTACCAATGAAAAAGGGGTGAGGGGCCTGTTGTTTCTTAACACATCTCCCAGTGAAGGTGTCCAATAAACTCTACCACCTTAGAAGAGTTTTAAACTAAGTAGGATGAGAAAATAGATACTTAACAAATTTGTCAGTTGCTCTTTGTTTGTTAGTTTTCTTGGGCTGTGAGGTGGCTAGAGGGAGAAATGGTAAACGTGAAATGCTAGCCAAACTGACCAGACTAGCTGGAAAGTAACTGCCTGGGAAAGTGAAAATTGAGATGTGTTAGTGATGAGCCCCAAAACTTGCTTAGGCACTTACCCAGAGATTTATTAATGAGAACGGATCGCAGGTTTCCACGGGTCGTTCCACTGCCAGTAAGAAGATAGTCGTGAACCTTGGGTCCCTTTTTCACTAATCAACAGTCACCCTCACCTACACGCGGAGTACATATTTGGCACTCAACAAATCTTGACTGAATGAAAATTGATCTCATAATTGGTACCCAACCCCGCAGTTAGAGCCCCATAAATTACCTTCAAGAACCCTTGCGATCTAACCCAAAGAGCTAAGAATGTCGATAGGAAAGCTCTGGGGATCTGTGCAGAATGGAAACAAGTCAATGGTGGCAAGTCAATGGGCCCTACGCCAACCCGACTGCCCAAAGAAAACAGGGCTTCAAGGGATTGAACCCCAATTAGCTGGTTTCACAAGGAGATGGCCAATGGGTCGCAGAACCATAGCCTCCCACCCGGGGGCGCTGAAAGGTCTGGGGGTATACCCCCTCCCCACAAAAAAGTTAGTACCTGAGAAGCTGTGGCACAGAGAGCACCTAGGAGCTCTCATTACGGAGGCCGGGGCCCGGGGCCAGCCTGCCGCGCCTCCTGGCTGAGGTTCTGCTTCCCTGGGCTGCAGTGATAGCGGATCGAAGACAGACACCTCAAGCCTCAGGAGGCTCCTGGCTCGCAGTCTCCAGGCGTTTTGCTCTCAGGACTGAGCAAGTTGTCGCACTCACGTCTTGTCTTCTTCAGGGCTCCTCTCTTCGGTCAAGCGATCACTCTTGCCTTAACTCAGCAGCCGGTCGCTCCCCGGCGCCGCCATCGTTAGTGTTTGTTTTCATTCGCTTCGGTGCTGGCGGTGGTGATGTTGGAGGATATAGGGCAAGTCCAGCTGCCTAATTTTATCCGCACTTTCGCTACACCTTGAAAGTACTATTTAGTCCTTTGGCTCCTCGAAATAGCCACAAAACCTAATCTCTTTCCATATAAATCTTCTCATGTAATTTCTCAAACCCATCAGGAAAAATTAAAAGGGGATCTTTGAGAAAGTGAGTCTTTAAGGCTCTCTGTGGAATGTGCGGCCGCGAAGCGAAGACTGCGGCGGCAGCGTCGGGGAGGACGCGGCGTGGGGCGGGGCTGATGCGAGAGGCGGGGCCTTGATTGTGCGCCGTGGCGGCCTGCGTGAGGCCGCAGGTTCTGGAGGAGGGCCGGCCAGCGGCCGTTGGTGGGTGGAGTGCGGGACGGTAACCTGGCAGCGGCGGAGAGGTGGGTGTCCAGCCTTAGCAGTTGTGGAGCGGGTCGCAGTCAGACTTCCGTATCCATTTTTAAGGTGTACTATAAATGTGTCAGAGTTGCTCCCAAACCTGGCTCCACAGCCTCTCTCTTCGCCCCTTTCTTTCTTTTTTTTTGGTACCGGGGATCGAACTGGGGTTCTTGAGCTTGCGAGGCAGGCAGCGAAACCACTGAGCTAAATCCCCGGCCCTGTCCTTTCTTTCAAACTGAATGGTCTTCCTTACTTTCTAGCCCGCAGCGTCAAGATTTGAATTTCTTAGCCGGGCTTGGTGGCGCATGCCTCTAATCCCAGCACCCGGGAGGTTGAGGCAGGGGGATTGCCGTGAGTTCGGGGACAGCCTGGGCTGTGTAGCGAGACCATGTCTCAAAAGGAAGATTTTTTTTTTAAATTTATTGGGGTGCGGAGAAAGCCAGTTATTAATAACAGACACAAGTCTTCCAAGTTGGGTCGTAGGCTCCCCGCTTCCTCGTTAGACTGACTTGTGCACCTCCACGTCTGTCCCGCACATACCAGGTAGAGAGCCATGGGGCTCTGGATAACAAACCTGTGACTAATCCTTACCTAAGGTAGTTAGGACGTGTCAGGCACTTTGTTGCCTAATTAGGAGCAGAAATCTTTTACCTTTAGAATAATTATGCCATCCCCTATATTAATCTTTTGCCGTTCTCACTTGAAATGCCAAGCATCAAATGAGCCACCGAGATTAAACTCCCAATATGCTTCAAACCAGACCAAATTTTTCCTGCAGCCGTTTAGTGGAGAAAAACCCCGAGTTACAGGTACAGCACCTTTTGCCTGAACACAATACTTTTGCTCAAAAGGTGCTGTTGCAACCTTTGAGTCACTTTCAAATCCTTGGTACATTTTTTTTTTTTTGCTACTGGGGATTGAACTTGGGACCTTGAGCTTTTGAGGCAGGCAGTGGAACCACTGAGCTAAATCCCTGGCCCTGGTACATTTCTAATTATTTCTTTCTTTCAACTTTTACAGAGGGAAGATTATAAATGTCATCGGTTTAACTTAGGGTTAGCTGATGAGCTCTGCTGACACTTCCTTAAATACCTTCTGGTGCCAAGGTCTTCACTGAGAAAAGTTCAGAAAAAGTAGCAGTGAGGAGAGGCAGCATTCACTTTGGATATGGCCGTCCCCATCACAGTGTTGGACTGTGATCTCCTGTTGTATGGCCGGGGTCACCGGACTTTGGACCGCTTTAAGCTCGATGACGTGACCGATGAAGACTTGATGTCCATGTATGGGTTTCCTCGACAGTTCATTTATTACCTGGTGGAGCTCTTGGGGCCAAGTCTTTCCCGACCTACTCAGCGGTCCAGGGCCATCAGCCCAGAGACACAGATCCTTGCAGCACTGGGCTTTTACACCTCAGGCTCCTTCCAGACACGGATGGGAGATGCTATTGGAATCAGCCAGGCATCTATGAGTCGTTGTGTTGCCAATGTCACCGAAGCACTTATGGAAAGAGCCTCCCAGTTCATTCGCTTTCCAGCTGATGAAGCCTCTATGCAGGCTCTGAAGGATGAATTCTATGGGTTGGCAGGGATGCCAGGGGTGGTGGGGGTGGTTGACTGTATCCACGTGGCAATTAAGGCACCAAATGCTGAAGATCTCTCCTATGTGAACCGCAAAGGTCTGCATTCTCTAAACTGCTTGATGGTGTGTGACATCAGAGGGACGCTAATGACCGTGGAGACAAACTGGCCTGGCAGCCTACAGGACTGTGCTGTGCTGCAGCAGTCCTCCCTAAGTAGTCAGTTTGAAGCTGGAATGCTCAAGAATAATTGGCTCCTTGGTAAGTTTGAGGTATAAATCTTCATCTTGTACCCAGGAGGCTGAGTCAGGAGGATCAGGAGAGTTTGAGGCCAGTCTGGACTACATAGTGAGACCGTTTCCTCTCTTTTTTTTTTAGTACTGGGGATTGAAGTTGGGTTCTTGCGCTTGTGCAGCAGGCGGCGAAACCACTGAGCTAAATCCCCCACCCTATTTTTTTATTTTTTAGGAAACAGGGCCGGGGATTTAGCTCAGTGGTTTTGCCGCCTGCTGCGCAAGCACAAGGATCTGACTTCAATTCCCGATACCAAAAAAATAAATAAATAAATAAATAATAAATCTTCAATTTGTAGCCATAGATAAATTATGTAGTAGAAGGTGGGTGTGGTGGGTGCTGGGAGGCTGAGTGAGGCAGGAGAATTGTAAGTTCAAGCCCTGCCTGGGGAAGATAGAGGCCTGTCTCAAAAGAAAATACAAAAAAGGGCTGAGAGCCAGGCACAGTGGTGCATGCCTGTCATCCCACCACTCTGGAGGCTGAGTCTGGAGGATCGCTATGAGTTCAAGGCCAGCCTGGGTAACAGTTCAAGACCAGACTCAAGTATGTACCAAGACCCTGTCTCAAAAATAAAACAGGTACAAACAAAAGCCCTGGGTTCAATCTCCAATCCCAGCCCCACCCTCCCACCCCACCCCCAAAAAGTAATCTCGGGCCAGGGATTTAGCTCAGTGGTTCTGCTGCCTGCCTCACAATCACAAGGTCCCAAGTTCAATCCCAGGTACAAAAAAAAAATAGTCGTCTCTAGACCTGAGTTACACTCATTTCATTTTTTTGTGAGACCTCAGGCAAGTAAACTCAGAATTGTAGTTGTTTCTATTTCCGTGTGTGTGTGTGTGTGTGTGTGTGTGTGTGTGTGTGTGTTTGTTTGGTTTTTGCGGTGCTGGAGATCAAACCTAGGGGCTTGCGGATGCCAGGTGAGCACTCTACCAGTGAACTACATCCCCAACCCTTGAGCCTTAATTGTTTTAAATCAACATTTAAAAGACATTTATTGGAGGCTGAGGCAGGAGGATATGAGTTGCAGGGCCACATAGCATGTTCAAGGCCAGCCCGGACTGCCTAGTGAGACCCTGTCTCCAAAAAACAAACAAAAGCAAACCAAAGCTTTCCATTTTTATACAGGTCACAAAGAAGTAAAGGAGAGTGTGCTTTGCAAGTCTCTCATCTAGCTGTTTCATCCATAGCTGTAGGAGTTCTTGGGTTCCAAGCTGATTTCTTAGAAATCTCGCAACTCTGGTATTCTAATTATAAAGCCAGACCAAAGTTATTGAGCCCTTAAAATGTGTCATTGCAATGTTGTTAGCACTTTGTATGGATTCTCTCGCTTAACCACTTACCAGTCCAATTATTTAAATACAGGGTGCCCAAACATTGCATGTTTTTTTCATTGATTTTTTTTTTTTTTTTTTTTGTACCAGGGATCGAGCTCGGGTCCTTGCTCTTGCACAGCAGGCGGTGAAACCACTGAGCTAAATCCCCAGCCTTTTTCATTGATTTTTATAACAGGAAATATAAAAAATGATGGTTTTATCAAATTTAATCAGTACAAGAATCGATAGGTTGAAATGACACCTGCCCTAGTGCTAGTCGATAGCAAGTAAAATGCACTGCCCAAGTGATGCTGGGGTAGACTGTTAAATGGTTAGTACTAGCTGGTTTGGTGTTGCATGTTTGCTGTCCCAGTTACTTGGAGGCTGAGTCAGGAGGATCACTTAAGTCTACAAGTTCAAGACCAGCCTGGGAACATAGTAAGACCCTGTCTCAAGAAAAAAAATAATAAAACCAGCTGGATGTGGTCCACCGTGTAGTCCAAGCACTTGAGAGACTGAGGTAGGAAGATCAAGGCCAGCCTGAACTACATAGCGAGACCTTGTCTCAAGAAACTAAGTAAATAAATAAAATAAGAGTTATTATGTACTACTATTTAAAAAATACTAATTTTTTTTTTTTTTGGTACCAGGGATTGAACTTAGGACCTTGCAGTTGCTGGGCAGACGCCAGAACCACTGAGCTAAATCCCCAGCCCAAAAATACTAATATTATCAACATTTTTACAAAAAAGGAAACTGAGGCACAAAAAATTTAAGTTCTTTTAAAAACTGGATCATATGAGACATATCACTGTTTGGCAAATGTTCCTTTTGTTAAGAACTTCAGAGTCATATAGGAGGTCTTAGAAGGTACTAGTTTTCTTTTCACCTTGAGAACACAGATTCAGTTGGCGTTAGAACTTTAGGATACTTTTTTGGTTTTATTTCTGGATGTTGAACCTCAGGTCTTCTCACTGAATGATATCTCCAGCCCTTTTGTTTTGTTGTTGTTGGGTTTTTTTTGGTACCAGGGATCAGACTCAGGATCTTGCACTTTCAAGGCAGGCGACAGCACCACTGAGCTAAATCCCCAGCCCTTTTTTAATTTTAATTTTTTGGAAATAGGGTCTTGCTATGTAGCCCAGGCTGGCCTCAAACTCACAATGTGAGGCTGGCTTGGCCTCCCAAGTGCTGGGATTACAGGTACGCACCACCACGCCTGGTTTGCAACAGCATTTAATGGATGTATATTAAGGCCAGGTTTGATACCAGGCCACTTGCTAAGCAAGAAGCAATCTAGGAAAGTATACCCACAGAAGATGAAAAAGTAGCCAGGAATGTAGCTTAGCAGCAAAGGGCCTGCCTGGCAAGCGTGAGGCCCTGAGTTTGATCCCTGGTACTGGAAAAACAACAACAACACACACACATATGTATACACATACATTCTAGCACATACACTGTCCTAGAAAGTCTCCATGCCCTCTAAACAGGAAAATTAGTTTGAAGACTCCTGATAGGTATAACGTTTCACAAGTAACCAAGATCCAAAGCTTCACCTGTTCTGGGAGTCGCACGCAGCTCAGTGGGAGAGCGCTTGCCCACATGCATCAGACCTTGAGTTCAGTCCTAGAACTGAAAAAGTACCTGGGGAATTCACTTCAAATCTGTTACTCCACCCCACTTCAACCTTCAGGACTGCAAATCATGGAGGGAAGAATGTAGGCATCTTTAACGAGGGCCTGAAAATGATTTGTGTGACTAGAAAACTGGAGCCCGTGCGGCCAGTGGGATGATTACCTCAGGGAAGCTTGGCAGGATCACGAGGAATGACTGTTTGATGTTTTAGTGAGAAAGGAGAGAGATTAGACAGCTGCTTGTATCTTCATCAGATTTCTGGAATAGTTGTAGGTTTGTCAGATGCAGAGCCAGCCTCAATCCACCTTTGTGTCCTTAACGTGTTTTCACTTGAGAGTGATCTTTTCCTATCCCTTCAGGGTAGTTACCTAAAGTTCTCTCTCTGTTCCTGCAAACAGATTCAGCCCGAATTCTTCAGCTCCTGTCCTAGTCCCGTAAGCAGCTTAGGGTGAGACCTGCCAGAATGTCTTGTGGATGACTGATCATAGAAGCAATCCTAATCTGTGCAGCAATTCTGATCTTACTCCCCTCCTGAGTGTTTTCCCATCGCGCTTGGATTCACTGGAACATTTGACAAAAGGTCTGCATTAAGTAGCGTGTCCTGTTATCCGCCCCCTCATTTAAGGGCCATATCATTTTCTAGACAAATTTTGTTTTTGAGACAAGGTCTCACTTTTTTTTTTTGAGACAGTATCATGCTATGTAGTTCCCTCTGGCCTTGAATTCACTATGTGGCCCAGACTGGCCCTGAACTTGCAGTGATCCTCCTGCCTCAGCTTCCCTAGTGGGATTACAGATGTGCCCCCACCATGCCTGGCTGCCTAGAGAAACCAACAAACATCATTTAGCATCTCTGTGTTTAGGCATTCATCATAGATGTTTACCTACCTATTCCCTTTTACCACATTTCACCATTGTTTTAGTGATTCTAACATTAGTATTTACTTCCTAGCTCCTTCTTTTGCCTGACATAGCAAAGGATGGCTGAGGTATTATTTTGATCTCATTTATAAAATGAATATCTAACCTAGCAGAGTTAAGATTAGATAGTAATCTGTAAATCTCTACTTCAGAGGCTGAGGCAGGAGGATTGCAGGTTTGAGGCCAGCCTGCCAGATTAACAAAACTCTCAAAACTAAAAGGCTGGAGGGCTGGGGATTTAGTTCAGTGGCACTGCACTTGCCTTGAAAGTGCAAGGTCCTGAGTTCAATCCCCAGTACCAAAAATAAATAATAAATAAAAGGCTGGAGAGGTATCTTAGTCATAGAGCGCTTGCCAGCATACATGAGACCCTGGATTCATTTCCCAGTACTACCAAAAAAAAGGAAAAACTAGTTATACTAAAAAGGAAAACTGAGCTAAATACAAAATTTGAAGTTTTTGGGCCAGGGATTTAGCTCAGTGGCACCGTGCCTGCCTTGGAAGCACAAGGTCCTGAGTTTGATTCCCGGTACACACACAAAAAAAATTTGAAGTTTTTTTTTTGGTATTGGGGATTGAACTCAGGTCCTTGCACTTGCACAGCAGGTGGGCCAAACCACTGAGCTAAATCCCCAGCCCCGAAAATTTGAAGTTTTTATGAGACTTTATAGTTATTCAAGTTAATTCAGACTTGGAAATGTAGGCTCCTAGAAGAAAGGAATCCTTGAGCTGGGACATAGCTCAGTGGCACTGTGCCTGCCTGGCAAGCGCAAGGTCCTGAGTTCAATTTCTGGTACTGAAAAAAACCAACTATTTTTGGAACAGTGCCCAGCACTGCCGGAACAGCCTGCAGCATTTGCTGAACTGGCGGGCGGTCAGGGTGTGATGATCGTGCAGTTTGCTATTCTGGGGCCTCTCCATGGTCCCCGGTTTCTGAGGTCCTGTCTTATGAGAGACTGCATCTGCCCAACACTGTGAGTCAGGGCTGTGAAATGACACAGAGACACTGTGCTGTGTGTGTCAGCACGTTGCACCTGCTTTGTTTCCGCTAGCATTCCCAGGATCATTGGATCACGAGGTCACTTCAGGGGAATGCCTTGTGTGTGTTGTTTTCATTGATTTCGGATTTCATTTCCTTCTCTTGGACTATTACTCTTTGTACCAGTTCTCTTTGTTAATGTGTGATTCTTCCAGGTCCTCTGTTTTAAAAGTATGGTTCTAGTGATTATTGTATCTGCAAAGGCAGAATACCTGAGTTCCTTCTACTATCTATCTTTCTATCTATCTAATCTATTTGAGACAGGCTCTTACTATGTTGCTCAGACTGGTCTTTAACTTGTGGGTTTATGACAGTGATGGTGAACTTTTTAGTGATTTCAATAACTCAAACAGCCCACTGCAGCACATGTGCCATAGGTTTGTCACCACTGCTCTAAAAGACCCTCCTGCCTCAGCCTCCCAAGTAAGTGGTCTCCTGGTACGCAACACTACCCCAGAAGAACATCTGAGTTCTGATGATGGCCACAGATGCTGGGACTTTCATATTATTATTCTCAGCACTGGGAGGATAAATTATTATTGTCGTCTGGGTAGTGTTTCCAGAACTGAAAGTTTATATAGTAAATAGAAATTTTCCTTACAAGTTTTTTTTGGATCTCCTGATAGAATTCTTTGCTCTTCTGCACCTTGCTTTTTAGAATTTTTGAATTTTAACATGCTATGGATAGGGTTTTTGTTTTTTGAGGGGTTTTTTTGGGGGGGGTTGCTTTTTTGAGATAAAGTCTTACTAGGTAGTCCAGGCTGCCTTTGAACTCACTATTTACCCCAGGCTGGCTTTGAATATGAGATTCTCTTGCCTTGGCCTCCTGAGTGCTGGTACAAAGTTTGAGGAAAGCTTGGCCTACATAGGGATTAGTAGGAAAAAAACTTGTTTTTCTTCAGTGCCTCCACTTCCTACCTTCTTTCAGAGTTGGCCTTCATTGGTATCAGCATTTTCTCTGCTAATTTCAACCAAGGTATTCCCAGCCGAGACTCATGTCTTCTACTTAGGATATTAGTTTACTTTGTGGTTTTCTGGTGAGCTTTTAGCTCCAGAGGCTGTTGTATCTTCTTATCCATCCTATGTTTCTTTTTTCTTTGTTTTTTTGAGATAAGGTCTCCCTCTATAGTTCAGGCTGGCCTTGAACTCGAACTCACAATGATCCTCCTGCCTCAGCTTCCTGGGTACTGGGATTAGACATGTACCACCATACCCAGCTGTACATTTAATATCACTTTTTTTCTTCTTAATGATACAGGGGATTGAACCCAAGGCCTCAGGCATGCCGTGCAGGCACTCTATTGCTGAGCTGTACATACCCAGCCCTCTTTTTTTTTTTTTTTCTTTGAATGTGTCTAAGTCAACAGGTTGTTCTTTTTTTTTTTTTTATGGGTACCAGGGATTGAACTCAGGACCTTGCACTTGCTAGGCAGGCGCCGGAACCACTGAGCTAAATCCCCGGCCCTCAACAGGTTGTTCTTGAATTTAAGATCTTCCTGCCTCAGCCTCTCATATAGCTGGCATTACAGACAGGCGCCAGTATGCCAGCTGAATTTCACTTCCTGTCTGTAGTCTTCCTTATTTTATTTATTTATTTATTTATTTATTTATTTATTTATTTATTTATTTTTGGTACCAGGGATTGAACTCTGTAGTCTTCCTTATAATCACTTCTAACTTTGGGGCCTTCACACAGGTGACAGTTCCTTCTTCCTCCGCACCTGGCTCATGACCCCACTTCCCCTCCCGAAAACCCCCGCGGAAGATCGCTACAACCTGGCGCACTCTGCGACCCACAGTGTGATGGAGAAGACTCTGCAGACGCTCTGCTCCCGCTTCCGCTGCCTGGACGGGTCCAAGGGGGCGCTGCAGTACTCTCCGGAGAAGTCAAGCCACATCATCACGGCCTGCTGTGTCCTGCACAACATCTCCCTGGAACACAGCATGGACGTCTGGTCCTCCCCACTGGCAGGGCCCGTGCAGCAGTCCCCGGAGGAGGAGTATGAGCCCATGGAGTCCCTGGACCACGAGGCCGACCGTAGCCGCCAGGAGCTGGTGCTGGCGCATTTTAGCTGATGGGGAGACTGTTTACAGGGGCCACTGTGACAAGCTTTCCTGTGCTCTGCCACCTCCATCCACGGTTCTGTCAGCTGTTGGCTGCCGTGCGTGCAGAGGCTTGTCACGAATCCACACTGCATCTGTGTCTTAGAAGGGCTGGGGCTGTGCCAGGATGTCGTGATTCCAGCCAGGTGGTGGCGCATGCCTGTGATCCCTGAATGTGGGAGGCTGAGGCAGGAGGATGACTGAGTTCAAGGGCAGCCTGGGCTACACAGCAAGACCCTGTCTCAACAAAAACCCCAAAAAGTAAAATTAGAGAATATATTGATTCTTTGCAAATGAGTGAACTAAACCAAAACCAAGGTAGTGGTTCTCTGCTACCTGATGAACTCCAGGTCAAGGTCTGTGAACACAGTTGGGCATAAAAGTCACAGAAAAGGGGAAAACAACACTTAGACAAAACCTTTTTTTAGTTTTGATGATCTGGAAATTACAAATGAAAATAGTATTAGTACTGAATTATTTGGGTGGTAGTTTGATTTTTCTGCTTTGCTGACTATACAAACAAAGAGCTAATTTAGTTGGGGAATGGTCTTCTGATTAAGTAAATGGCTACTGTTCCAAGTTTGCGGCTTTGTGTGCTTTTTCGGTTGGTTTTGGGATTTATTTGTATTTTTGCAGTACTTACGGATTGAACCCAGGGCCTCCTCACTGAGCTACATTCCCAGACCTTTTTAAAATTTTGAAACAAGGTCATGGTAAGTTGCTAAATTACCCAGGTTGGGCTTGGACTTGGGGTCCTCTCACCTTAGCCTCTTCAGAGTGCTGGGGTTACAGGTGTGCAGTTAGAACACAATTCTTACGGTCATGATGGTAGAATATGTGTTTGGTGATTCTTTGGAAATTCCTTGTAGAGAAAAAAGATTTAGGAAATAAATAGGCATTACAAAGTATTAAGGATGGTGCATGTCTGTAATCCCAGCACTTGGGAGGCTGAGGCAGGACGATTGCCACCAGTTTGAGGCCAGCCTGAGCTACGTGATGAGTTCAAGACCAGCCTGAGCTACATAGCAAGACCCTGTCTCAATAACAAAATAAAAAGGAAACTGGTCATGGTTGCACTCACCTGTAGTCTCAGCTACTCAAGAGGCTGGCGAAGGGGAGGAAAAAGGGACAAAAAAAGATGTTATATGTACAAGTACTAACTCTGCATGATGAATGTAATCATGTACTGCAAACATGAACTAATAAAAAAGGCTGACTCGGGAGGATCACAAGTTCAAGGCCAGCTTGGGCAATTCAGTAGTCCTTTTTTTTTTTTTGGTACCGGGGATCAAACTCGGGAACTTGTGCTTTTGAGGCAGGCAGTGAGCTAAATCCCTGGCCCTCAACTTGGGCAATTCAGGAAGATCCTGGGGCAAAATAAGATAAAGGGCTGGATATGTTGTTCAGTGGTAAAGCTTCTGCCTAGCGTGTACGAGGCCCTGGCTTCAATCTCTGGTACTGGGAAAAAAAACATTAAAAAGAAGGAGTGATGCCAGGTATGATGGTCCACACCTGCAATCCCAGCATTTGGGGGGCTGAGCTAGGAAGACTGCTGTGAGTTCAAGTCCATCCAGTCTGAAATACATAGCAAGTTTTTGTCTAAAAAAAAAAAAATCAAAAAGGAGGAGAAAGAAGAAACAGAAGTAAAAGGAAAATATAATTACTGGGCTTGAAACGCATTCTGAACTTAGACCTGAGATATCTTGTATGCAGAGTGATGGACACAGCTTCTCAGCAAATAATCCCCTAGCAAATCTGGTACTTAAATTACACCCATACAAAACCCAGTTGGGGGACTGGGGGATTTAGCTCAGTGGTTCCGATGCTTGCTGAGCAAGCACAAGGACCTAAGTTCGATACCTAGTACCAAAAAAATACATATATATAACCCTGTTGGAAAAATTCAAGTATGAATTAGCTATACACATAGGCATCTTTGCTGGAGCAGAAAGGCGACCTTCCTTCGGATTGTCTGCTTCTGGTTTCACAGCTGCTTACTTGCAGCACCTTGGGATTGTCCCCGGGAACACTTCCTACCTGCCTTTGGCAGGTTCATCTGGTGATTTTCAAAGTAAAGAACAGCTGACAACAGAAGAAATTTGGACATAAATTGTGGGTGACATTCTCAAGATGAAAAATGATTATGGATTATTATCTGCTGTTATTTCCACTGCAAATGCTGTTTCCCATCATTATCCTCCTCTATAAAAAGTGGGTCCATGGGCTGGGGATTTAGCTCAGTGGTTTTGACGCCTGCTGCGCAAGCGCAAGGACCCGAGTTTGATCCCAGTACCAAAAAAAAAAACCCAACAAAAAACAAAAAGTGGGTCCATTTGGCAGGAGCTTTCCATATAACCTGTGCACAGGGGTGTCACAGAGGTGGGAGGGGACCAGAGAGAGTTGATAGACACTCTTGTTTTTTGCTTTTTTTTTGTACTGGGGATTGAGCTCATGACCTTGCATTTTCAAGGCAAGCAACAGCACCACTGAGCTAAATCCCTGGCCCTTTTTATTTTGCTTTTGGAGACAGGGTCTTGCTACGTGGTTCAGGCTGGCCTTGAACTCACTATGTAGTCCAGGCTGGTCTGGCACTTGTGGTGATCCTTCTGCTTCAGCCTCCTGAGCGCTGGGATTATAGGTGTGCACTGCCACACCTGGCAAAATTTTTCCTTTTTTCTTTTGGTATTGAGGATGGAACCCCTGGCCTTGTGCATACTAGACAAGCCTTCTACCATTGTGTGCTTTGTATATTTAACTTGTGATCCAAGGTTGCTTGTCTCCCTCATGAGGCAGTATCCTTTTTTTCCCATTTTGTACTGGGGCCTGAACCCAGAGCCTTCACACTATGCTACATCTCCAGCTCTTTTTATTGTTTATTTTGAGGCAGTGTCTCATTAAGTCACCAAGCTGCCCAGCCTGGTTTCAAAGCCTGAGCCCTGTCGCCTCACCCTCCTGAGTTAACAGGCACCATAGGGTCCCTACTATGCCCAGTGGAAGTTCTGGTTCTGTCACTGGATTGCATCAGGACAGATTCCTACTGGCTGTGCACCCTAACTGGCAAGGCTGAGTGTGGTTATAGTAATTTTAGCCTTAACTTCACTTAAGGAATATTGGGGTTTTTCACTTGCTGGATGGCCTGGGGAGTGAGAGGAAGGGATTGGAGTCTATTCACTTGCAAGTGAAGAATAATCTCTATGTGCCAAACTGATTTACCATAGGCACACAGTACCCCCATCCCACCCCACCCAGAAAACATTTATCAATTCCACAGAGAGATTTTCAAATCTACAATTTTTTTGGAGATAGGGTCTCACTATATAATTCAGGTCTTAAAATCACTATGTAGCCTAGGCTGCTCCTCCTGCCTCAGCCTCCTAAGTGCTGGGATTACAGGTGTGCACCGTTTCACCTAGCTCTCTTTACTATCATTTTCAGTTGGGTTTTTTTGGTACTGATTTTTTTTTTTTTTTTTTTTAGTCTATAGTTACACTGTTCTCAAAATGACCTAAGGGAAGGATCAGGGCCTGTATTTGCAAACTGCCGTGAGTCCGCAGTGTACAGATCTGAGAACCTTCTCCCCCTGAGGTTCTTCGTTGTGGCCCTCTTGAAGCATGGTTTTTAGGGAAGCGCCACAGATTTGGGAGGACTCAAAAGAGGAGAAATGACTTGCTTAATTGGGATAAATAGTATTGGGAGTCCATAAGGTGGTCGCTGACCTATATTAGACCAAGTATTTTGGTGCTATGGTTTGATCTTCAACACACTCACAAAAACGTCCAGTTCTCTCAACAATTTGCCCTGCAAGTGACAGAAAATGGCAGAACCACAAGCTACTCTGCTATACAGCTTGTGATCTGGGTTTGTTTACTTATGCCTTGGCCAGGCGCGGGACCTTGAGTAGGAGTTGAGCTGTTTTTCTGCGGTCGTCCGTGCCTCCTTGAACGATTACATCGGCGCTCGCCCTTTGATGCCTGGAACGTTCGCGCAATCGGCGATCCTTTGCGCCGTCTTCTCGCTTGATGTCTTCTGAGAGGCGACGGCGGCGGAGGAGGCAGCGCCAGGTCGCGGGCTGAGCTATCCGCGAGGCCTCTGGCTCAGGCCGCTTTCACCCGTCGGCCGGTAGAACGGAGTCCCTTGCTGCCTTCGCGTCTCTTCCCTGCTTCTCTGCGAGCCTCAGACGCCCCGCTGGGCTGCGAGCCGAGCCCTCGCCCGTGGTGCAGGTAGGCCCGGGAGGAGCCTGGAGGCCCGGCCCGCATCCTTGCGCCGCGGGCGCGGAGACCTCGGCGCAGGCGGTGGGCGGGCGGCCGGGGAGGGGCGGCCGACTGCGTGCGGGGGCGCGGCCCAGGGTGCAGCGGGGGAAGCCGGAAGGAGCGAGGAGCTGGGAACCTGGGGCGGTTCCGAGATGGGGCTGTGGGGACGTACCTCTCGGATGTGTGGTAGCGGCTTTCCAGGAACTGTCGGACCCTCCTCCCTTTCTCCTCTCTCCCACCTAATGCCGCTGTTGTCATGACTCAGTTGCACCGCGGACCCCTGCTAAGTCCGGCCGTTTAAGGAACCCTGGAGTCGGTGGAGGCTGGTGAAGCCAGGCTCCTGGTTCCTCTGAGCAAAGTGTCTTGTTCTTCCTTTTGGGGATAGGGAAACTGAGGCTAAGGTCTGAGATGTGACTGCCACATTTCCCCCTCCAGATCATTAAATGCCGCCTAAATTACTTGGTAACTTACTGGTTTACTTTTTTCCCCCCTCCCTTTTTACCAGTTATTTTTTACACATCATTTATTTGATTACCCGTGACCCCTCTTTCCTAGGAATATAAATTATCACTGAAGGCTTCAGAAGTAAACGGACCGTCTGATCTTTTGGCTGGTTTTGCTTTTCAAAGTATGTTTTAGGGTGAAGTAGCAATGATAGTTTCTTTAAAAAAATATTTTTTGTTAGTACATGTTTGCCATACACAATGATTACATTCATTGTGGGTAGCTATTAACATGTGTCTTTATGCTTCTTAATAGAATATTTTACTTGCTGACTAATTTGCCTCCTAGTTGATACTTTGCTTTAGCTTGTGTTTTCAACTGTGGTGTTCAGTGGTTATTGTGTGAAGGGGATGTAGAGACTTAGAATTCCTTGTCTTGTCTTATGAGGAGGATCTGCTTTCTAGGAGGTATCCCAAGGAAACCCAAGGAGTTTTTTGGTAGCAGTTTGGTCATGTTTGATTAATGATTTAGTTATTGTATGTACTAGTGAAAAAGGTTGTGTGTAGAAATCATTCAGTTAGATACTTATATTGAAGGCCAGTAATTTGTGAGTTCCATTATTCCTTTTCTTTTCCAACTTGGAACGTTAGGGATTGTTTTTATTCATTTTGTTTTCATTGGATTGAGTGTCGTGATCCTGATTTTCATCACTTATTATTTGTTGGGAATAAAAAAATTAGCCTAGAAGTCATTCGAAGTTGGATAAATTTCCAGAGCATAGAGTCTGTAGCAGAATGGCTTGAAGAGAGTACAGAGTAAATTCTTTGTCATTGGGTAGAAACTGTACAGATCTCTGTTTCTGCCTAGTTTTAGGATTGTCACATGAGT